GTCAGCAGCAGTAGTTATTTTGGGAAGTCTGCATAGTGTTTTCATCCTCGCTCCCATTTTCTTTGGGTGACAGAGGAGCTATATTATTTGATATGTTGGCTTGAGGTTCCTAGTTAGCTTGTTTGAGAAGGCAAATAGCACATTTACATAAATGCTGACTTATTCCTCGACTAAAGTGTGCCCTTTTGGCAGAAATTATAGGTTAAAGACTTGTCTTTTCCTTTCACGTTATGGCACTGGCTTTCAGGTCACCTTTTTTTGTTATCCACCAGTGGTTTTAGGATTCTCCTGTGTTTCTGAACCTGTGCACTTAAGAAATGTTCCTTTTACTAAGAGGCAGTGGAGGTTTTTCTGAGTTTTTCAACTTCACTTGGACTTTCCTGTAGTGGTGGACATAGCTTCAGCTGCAGTGGACATTGTGTGAGCACATGTGCCAGACCTTAATGTACCTTTTAGAAATGTATTTTAACTCCACGTTTGAATCACGTTAATATTTCCGAGCAATGTTGTAAATAATTAATGGATTCAGCTAATGATGCATACATTTAGAGCTGAAACAACTACTTGTATATTCTGATGGGCTGAAAATAAATTGGCAACAATTTGATAATCAAATAGTCATTGTAGTCATAAAACATTAAAGGCTGTATGGTTTTTGATTTGGCGGTCCGACAGTTTTAGTCAAATCTTCAATCGCATTTGAAGATGCCACATGAAACTGGAAAATCATATTGGCATTCACTATTTAATACCTTTAATTATCAAGTGGATAATCTGAGTTACTCCTGTTCTGAGTGCCACTGCTGATGTAGCCATCAGTGTGTCATGATGAGCCCAGCGTGTTCACACTTTGCTTTATCTGATTGCAGTGTGAGCTCGACCGTCCTGTGCTGTGTTTCTGACCTCTGAAGTCAAAGTGTAATGTGTCAGGTTAATATGTTTTGGTATCATCTAATGATACTTCCTCTTAAAACGGCGTTTAACTTGGTCTTGTGACAGCCTCTCATTTGCCATTTTCTTAAAAGCCTAATATAGACCAAGAGACTGACAGATGGAGATATGCATCCAGGCAGCAGAGCTGATCATCCTAAGGCGAACAGTCGGATGGCAAGGAAAGTGGATGTTTTAAGAGAGCAGGCCCTGCAGGTGCCTGACAGCAGTCAAATGAGTCCGCAAAACAGAGGAAAATTGTTTTGCAGCTAGGCTTGTTAAGGCTGTGTGAATATGTTCCGCTAAAGTGGACATGTAGGAATGAGTGACAGGCAGAAAAAGAGTGAATCCTTAAAGCCATACACAACAGCCAAGTTTTGGTTGACGAGAGCCAGACAAATCCATTTTGTCCAAATTAAGTTTCTATTTTTTCTAAATTCTGTCTGTTGTTTACGCTGACATACAGATCCTTATGTAATTCTGCAGTTAATTTCTTGCCCTGTCTTTGAACCCTTCTACGCTGCTGCAAAAAAAAAAAGTCACATCATCAGTATTCACTGTTATACAGTGCTCTGGGACTTGCATGGGTCCACATATACACATACAAGCTGCAATAACCGAAACATAGGATTTGTATAGTATTGCAGACAAGACTGCAGAGGTGACCTGCCGATGCCCCTCATTACGGTATTCAGTTATGCAAAAGAAGAGGCCAGTATATATTAGCGTGTACTGTTCTTCAAGAAAACAACCCGTTTTGCCTCTAATGAAGTCTCCCGACAGGCTCTCACGAGAGTTGGAATGGAGAAAGCATGCTAATACAGTGTTCTGTGGCACGGGGAGGGTTGGTTTTGGCATGAATTGTGGATGCGGTTTTGTTCACTTGAGGCCCATTGATGACTGTGCTCGGTTCTGGAATATAGAGGTTTGGCTGTTGATTATTTAAGGGACCATGTCAAGCTCATTATCCTTTAATCACTAATAACCATTAAGGGCTAGTCTGGGTTACATTTCACTCCCTCCATCACTTAATGGTTGAAAGATGCTGAACAAATACTCTCCATTCCAATGCTTCCGCCCTTCTGTTCTTATTTTTTACGCCTCGTGAATGATGGAATGACTGACGCCTTTAAAATGCACAGAGTGGCCTTGTCACGCCCCACTGCATCAAACTGCTGCCTTAAACATTATCATAGTCCATGTGTATGCACTCAATGCATGAAAACAACTTTGGTTGTGACAGTCTGGGTTTTTGCTCTTGTTTTGTTTCTACCATATTAATTTTTCTCAATCAGCTCTTCTGCCTTTCTTGCTCTTGACTTCATCCTACATTGTTCATTTTTTATGGCATGGTTTTTGTGATGTACTTGCACACATGCAAACGTGTTTAATCTATGCTTCATAATCACACATGCAAACATCTTGGCATAATCTGGAGGTGTCTACATATTTTAGCATAATTTCTAATGTATGCAAACACAACTTTGTTATTTTTTTTCCCCAATGGATGCCAGAAAAAAATGCTTTTTTGTTTTTTTTTTACAGAATTTGTTGGAGGGAAACACTTCAATTTTTTTAAACTACTGTTTATCGAATTTTGCAGGTTGTAGATCACAAAATCAATATACGAAATAATCCCAGAATTGCCCACATCCCTCCCCCTCTCCTCAACAGACACTCCCCAAACATCCCTTCCACTCTCTGCAGGAACAGTGGCTGCTTTTTCTTCCCTCATAAGCACACTGCAGATTTTATGACGACAAAATGACAAGTCCTCTTGCTGACCATCAATGAATTGTCCACAAAGCTGACACAAAGCAAAATATAGCATTGTTTTGCTTATGGCTGAAAATCAGGGTCTGTAAAACCTGTTTTAACCCTTTATCAGGCAAGGAACCATATATGGTAACTTTCGCAGGCTTTAAAAACGGCAGGGGGCAGAATCATGTGACTTCATCCAGCCAATCAGCGAAGTCACTACGGCCTCTGACCAATCACGAGTGAGCCAGAGTGATATTTTGACACAAGTGTCACAAGTTGCCTAAGTCTGACTTGTGATTTGGAAATAAATGTTACTTCATGTTTGCATTGTATTCTTTACAATACTTTGTCCACATATTATTTTGATTTTTTTTTTTTTTGGTGGCCGAAAGAAACATATATGGTAACTGCTTTGATTTTGACTTGCAACCTAAATCTAAAACTTTTTTAAAAAGTCAAAAAAGAAAAAAAAAAAACTCTTCTTATATCCACCAGTAAAATTCCAGGGTTGACATTTTAAATTTTCAAGTATTTCAAGGAGTGCCTTATAAAGGGTTAAACCTCCACCTCGAGAGCCAACACCACCAACCAAACAATCGCCAACAGACTTCCTGACTCAAGTCAAAGTATTCAAAGAGCGGCAGGTTTGTGAATGTGATAGATAAATAGATTACGTCAGGCCCGTGCCCTCAAATGTCAGTCAAATGAATGTGATTTATTTTGTACGACAAACTTGTGTCACCATCCGAGTTTGAAGAGACAATTCCTGCACAAAGAGTGAAAGTGGGTGATGAAAATGTTTTAGTATCGACATCAACATGTCAAATTCGTAATTTTGGTGTTGTGCAGTACGACGATATTCAATTGAAGAGCATTTCAGAAAATGTGTGGACCCCCAAATAAGCATTCAAATCTATAGCTTTTTCAAAAATGACACGACGTTTTCTTTCTTGCTGGCTTTAGAAAACGTCTTATTGAAGCCTGTTTCTTGTTCTGAGCCTCTGACCAAAAAAGGACCTTGAACTAAAACTTCAGTATTATCCTGTTTTAAAAAAAGGTTTATTGACTTCTAAGCCTTATGTTCCAAGATAGTGTTTCTGTCTGTGTTTTGGAGGGATGCAGATTCAGTTCGAGGTGTAATGCACTGCTGCTATTCCCACTTTTTAGGTTTGGCCCCCCCACCACCACACAAATGTATTTTTCACGTTGTCAAGCACAGAATGAAACTGGAGCAGCTGGATACTTTTTTTTTCTTCTTTCTAACAAGTGGTCATTGTTGTAAAGAGCTGAATATTGGTAGTGCTGACTTAAGCACAGTGGGTGAGATCTAACATTTGATTTGGCTGCATTGATTTTTTTGACAATGTATTCTGTGCAATATTCTGGTAGCACTCAATAATGGTGGTACATGCAACGTGCTTTACATTAAAATCTTCACCGTGTCACAAGGTGTCATCATCCTCTGCGTGATAATGTGTCCATTGTGTTCATGCAGGTGTCTTCAGATAACTATGATCCTGTGTAGCCCAAACAGATGCAACAGTTGATGCCAGCTTAGGTCAGTTTAACTTGAGTTAGTCAGCATAACCTACTGCAGTGCAAGGCTTTTATTATCATGTCAGTTTAATCTTGACTGGGTAAGAAAATACACACACTGATGTATAATTTACATGCTGAACCATAATTTAGCTCACAATCCTTGTTTTCCCTTTATTTTAATGGCCTTTCTCTTCTAATGACTCCCTCAAGACCTTTCCTGTGAAAACATTTGCATGCCCATATGCGTGCCCACACACACACACACACACACACACACACACACACACACCTATGCACATAGTAGTGTGTGCCGGTGCGGAGGGATTCTAACTCTAACGCAGCCTGTGTTTCTCCGTCACATTAAAAAGCCAATTTCTTTTTAATAGCAACAACAGCTGGAGCTGACAGGGCCAGTGTCTGCTGATGGAGCAAACAGCTCCTGAGCTGTCCTGCAGCTTAGGCCCGGCTGCCTGCCTCATTACAGGAAAAAGAGAGAGTAAGATGGTGGGAAGGGGAGGGGGGGGACAAAGAGAGAAAAGAGAGGATGTAGCCTGTACACTCCAAGGCAGGTGCAAGACATGTTTTGGTGTTGTATGATGTAAAATGAAAAAAAAAAAAAAAGAAGAGAGTGCAGAGGCTTGTGGAGCTGTTGAGCTGAAGAGGAGAAATTGTTATCATTAGCCACGATAGAAGCCTTCGAAGTGGTTGCCTTATCGCACTGTGTTAACTGTCGTTCACTCTCCTACTCCTTCTTGGCTCCTTTTCTCCAGTGCACCTGGTCGAGTCCCAGGAGATGGCTGAATCTGCAAGAGTACCAGAGCAAGAAGCTGATGCAAGAGAGTGGCGTGGCCGTCCAGCGCTTCTACGTGGCCGACACAGCTTCTGAGGCCCTGGAAGCTGCAAAGAGGCTCAGTGAGTAGATGAACAAAACACGTGTGATTCATGTTTGTCCACTGGAGCAGCCTTCCTCAATGGAACTTGATATAGGTTGAAATCTCACAATAGTGATCTGAAATAAGATATCAGTCCTGAAATTCTACATTTCATTAATTCCTTACTTCACAGACTTGTTTGAGAAAAAGTCTGTTTATTGTCTTTGAATCCTTTATTCATATAACCTAACAAAACAAATTCTGCTACAGCAGCCTTTGAGGATTTTGCCAAAGTAGGATATAATAGAGCTGCCAAATGTATGACTTAAAGGAAGAAATATCTGTTCAAAGAATTAAGGGAATAAACCCTGACATAGAATTCTATGCTAATTTGAGGTGCTTTACAGTTTGCAACTTCCAATGCAAAGTCAACGCTTCGGGCACATTTGGGCCCAAACCCAACAGGGATTAAGGTTCCATTTTCAGCTGTGTTGACTAGAGTTGATTTGATATTAGCTCTGCGACAAGTAAACTGATGAGTCTGTGTTCTAGCGGTCCATGTCAGGCCCAGCAGTATTCCTTTTACTTCAAACTATTTTGAAATGACCTAATTTGTCCCTTAAACATGCGGGTACATGAATCTTTACTGCTGCGGTATTCTAATGTTGTATACATTTAGTACCTGCTCTTCGGTGTGTTGCGTTTGCACTTCTGTTTTAACTACAGATGTACCAAGAGATAAGCTAATGCTTTATTACTTTGCTGTTGATAATGAGTTAGTTTTATGGTAGATGTAATTGTACTGCTGCCCACAGTAAAAACCTTAACAGTCCTATTTGTGCTGCCGGGCTCTCTGGCCCAGCTACAGAACGTGCAAATGGCTGTGGTTAATAAGGGTTGAAGTTTTATCAAGTTTAATCGCGTCTTTATGCCGTTTGCTTATGTGTGGGAGCCTGTGTTTTTTGAGCTTAGCGATTGTGCCCGCTCTGTTTTTCATCACCGCACTCATCCGCGTTAATTTGCTTCACAACCTCTCGTAGCGAGTTTCTCACACTATGCATGTTTTCTTTTTTTTTCGGTTTGGTTTGTTTTAATATATTTATTTTTGTTTCATGGTTACAATTTGGATTATTGCCCCCCACACACACACTTGCACAAAGCCATGTAAGGAAGTGACTGAAGCTCTAATTTTATACTTGTAGTACAAATCTGCACAAACACGTCGTGCTCACATGAACAAAGATGGTTTAACGCATTACATTTGTATGCACCCACACATAGCTTTCTCTTTTGTCCCCCCCCCCACCACCACCTCTCCTGTTTTGCTTTCTTTCCACATACCAAACAATCCAAAACATACATTGTATATTTCCACCCTCAGCTTTATGCTTTATTCAGTGCCCTCTCCTACTACAGTTGCGGCTTTCTGATAGTTCATCCAGGTTGGTTGTCAGCTCGCGAGGTGCCACTCTTGCTGCTGTCTTTGGGATCAACTGCCCGGGGCACTGCTTTCAGTAGCTGTGGCTATGATGCAGACAAAGATAAACTGACTAGGAGGAGGACTATATATTTTTTTCATGACACTACCTATATTAGTTTGTTGGGGATGGAAAAAAAAAACTTGGAAAAGGGGACCTTAAAGGGAACAGACAGCTTAATAAAATCCAGGCCCGACTCAAGAGTTGATTTACATATGATTCAAGAAATGCAGTGCTCTGTCAGATGCTAACAAGTCAGATAGCTTTGGTCCATATTTATGACACAGTTATGGGCCTGCATTAAAGTGACACCTCTTAAAAACGGCATGCTCTGTTATTGTAAAATCCACTTTATACACATGGTTACTGAAAGTGATTTATGGTCGCGGTCTGTCGACTGCAGTAGAGCTAATTTCTTCTCTGAAATATCTTTATTGGTTTCTTCAGCCAACGTTTCAAGCTTAGTAGCAGAGGACTTGGACTTTGTTTCGCGCGCCATTGCGCTCCAGAAATAGACGTGTTAAATAGCTCAGCATCAGGTCTTAATTAGCTGCAGCGCATTCAAATTAATGCTACTGTGGTTGTGACCACTCATGTCATGAGTGTTAGTAAATTCCCAGCTGAACTGAAAACATGAGCCAACGCTGTTTTTTTTTTTAGTAATTTGTGGTCAGCTTAGTAAATCAACTCCTCGGCTCCTGCAGGGCACTTCAGAGCTGCTTTGTCTTCTCATCTGTGGGCGCTGAGCTTTGCTTGGTGTCCTTGTGTGCGCCTCTCACACTTTTTTTTTTTGCATCCTGTGACGACTGCTGGCTCACTAATAAAGCATGCAAGTGAGCATCTACAGACGCTTCATTTCTTCAGATACATACTGTGTCTGTGAATGGCTTTCTCTAGGGCCATGTTAGGTCAGACATAAATGTGATAGAGAGTGAAGGAAAGAGGGAGATTAATAACCCCTTTGGTTAAGATCTGTTGAGCTGATATACAAGCTGAGACTGCCAAGATCCGACTCCCAGCGGGTAAAGGGGGAGGGCAGGGTATGGAGCCAGCCCTGGATGAAGCTCTATTTCAGGGCTTTTCAGTGTAGAAGAGATGTGGTATGGCTCTGTACAGGAGATATGGATGGCTGAGGTATCTGAGCTGAACGGGAGCGACCTAAATGGATTTCTGCTGGGTGCTGATATCCAGCTGTGAGCCCCTGGTTCCCTGTACACACAATAGAATAAACTAGTCAAGCATGGAAGCACAGACACCGTTGAATGACATTCACAGGGCAAGCTTGCCTATATGTGCACGAAAACACACAAACACTCACACACCAACCAGCATTCTCCTCTCTGCTACACTCACTTAAGCATGAAGTGGTTAAGTTGACAGTTCAATCGCAGCTATGGTATATAAAAACTCCTCTCACTCCTCTCATCTACTGTAGAGTGGCCCAACTCTCCCAAAGTGGACACAGATTGATTTGTTCTATTACTACCGAGGACAAATAGCTTAAAATCTTTCTCTTTTTCTATCAAAACATAAAAAACATATTCGACATGGACCACTGATTCCCTTTAACTTGAATGACAACCCTTAGGAGAGAGTTTGCATTGCGGCAGATGGGTGATTCACCACCAGCTAATGGCTCATGGAAAGTAGGGTTTGATTTTTGTGGCGCCACACTGGGCGAGTCCTGCAGGGAGTCCAAAGCTTTTGTAAAGTGTGCTCCACTGGGAGACTGAGAGAGTGGAACACTTCTGCTGCTGTCTTTCCAAAACCAATGACCCACATCCAATACTTTCGTACCCAAGCTTTTAATTGCATTATGTGTGTGTGTGTGTGTGTGTCAACTAAACTCTAGCTTTAAAAAAATAACCTTTTGGATTTCAGAGGTACGTAATGCAACTTTAATATTCAAATGTTTTGACTGAACATGTTAAAGATTCCTGTCATTTTATGTTAAGTTGTCCCATCTGTGAATATTTACTGTCGCTCACCAGATCATTGGCACTCAGTCCTTCTGTCCGGTTAGTCCTAAAAGTGTGATAGCATGCGACACTCTTAAGCAGTAAATGGGGGAAAATGCAACTAAATATCCGTCTGGCCAAATTAATAATTGATGTGAGCAATGTGAAGCTACTATGGCATGCAGGAGTCAAGTTTCAGCAGCACTTCTATTTCCGTACTTCCTAAAATGTGACCTAAAAGTACTTGAATACTTGAATTTTTATGATAGTAACCCAACAATCAGCACCATCAAGGATGCTTTATTGTTGTGGTGTATTCAGTGCTTCATCAGGCTGATGAACCAACCAAGGATTTCAGCAACAAAGGGTGCCTAATGTCATACTGTAATTAATAATAGTTTTGTAATTAGTAATACATTTGGAGTGGATCGTCTTCTTCAGGCAGATCTTCTGGTGCTCTTCTAAAGGCCTTGAGGGTTCTTTGCTGTATCCTACTGTTCCACACTTTGGGACAGAGGCCTCAGATGTACCAGGAATCTGCCGGAACCACTCTACTGGTTCACATCAGAGTTTCTGTTTCATCCCCTAATGCTCCTGTTACCAATGGGACCACTCTGAACATCTGCACCAGTTGTTCCTTCAATCCTGGGTACTGCTTGATCTTCTCATGCGCCTTCTTTCTGATGGTACTTTCAGCTGCGATTGCAACCGCCCTGCTCTGCTCCTAGTTAAATACCACTATGTCCAGTTGGTTAGCCAGCAGCTGCTTGAATTTTAGCTCTGACAGAAGCCGTTCACACAGCCTAAGTCCATAGAAGAACTGTAGAACTGTGGCAAGTTGATCCTTGTTTCAGCCCCAACAATCAGAGGAGAAATTTGTTCTGGAGTTTTGGTTGGAGCTGATGTTTGGCCCAGATTATTTGGTAATGTGAGATGTTTGATATGTATGGTTACTATTATCACACTAGTGCCTGAAGCAGCAGACACAGTTACCAAGCAACACTAAACGCTGTAGCCTCTTGAGGCTATCATTAGCTACACATATTAAAACCGACAGACTCCATTCTTCCCAAACACTAGACAACCTGTGTTGAGTGCCTCTCCCCAGCCATTTTCTTATGCCGTCTCATGTAGCCTTCTGCCTTTGTTTTTTCTGTCCCTGCAATGTGTGACTAGCATTACAGCGGGATGCTGCACCACAGTCTCCATTTTGTTTACATCTGCTTCCCTGTGAGATAACGTGAGGCGGTGCTCTGCTCCCTGATTGCTCCCTCTGGCACTGTAATCTTACTAATATCCTGCAGTGTGCGATGTGCTAGTGTTTTCCAGCCTTGTAGTGTGTGTGCATGTCTAAGATTAGAGAGACGAATATTTGTGAAGTTGCTCTTCATGTGTGTGATGCAACCTGATTTCAAAATCTGTTAGGATTTTAAAACTCATGTAGTGTAAGCCTGGCCTTACTTGCCAAGGACCTTGAAAAACCATCTGTAAGTGTGCCAGGGAGAACTGGTGCTGTTTTAAAAATAAAGCGGCGTTGCACCAGATCTTGATTTGATTTTAGTTTTTCCTCTTTTTTTCTGCACTTTAGAAAAGTGATGAATAAA